AATAGGCAGCCGCCATAAGTTTGAAATGGCTCCATGGAAAAACTAACGTCGCACGCACGGGGGTGTCATCGCAGCAGTAGCGCGGCGAGGTAAGAGGAAGGGGAGGTGCGTCACCAAAAGTCAAACAACATGAGCCTATGGAGGAAAAGCGAGAATGACTTCTGGTTTCCCAGGAATCTTAAGCAACCGCCGTTGAAAAAGTGATTGCAGGATGTGCTCTGAAAGAAATAAGCGAGTTAGTTTGGTGGACCAGCGTTCTGTAGCTTTCTCAAAAAAAGCAGAAAAACGATTGGGATGATATTTCTGTCGAACCGCTGAAAACAGGTGTACAAAGGTTCTTGCAGCCGTGGGATCCCGCTCTTCGTGAACATTTGCTGAGCTGGATCAATCCTGGTTTCCTTCATGATCTTTGCCACGAGCTGAAGGTGAGCATAGCTTTTGAATATTAAAGATTCAATGTTTGAAGAAGAAGATGATCAGAGATATTCACGAATGGAAACCGTCTTTAAATCTATTTCTTTTTGCAGATTCTCTTCCGCTACAAACACATCAACAGTCGCTATCTGGTTTTCAGTCAAATGCGTGTGGTAAGAGGACAGGTTCGTTGCTTCGAATTCTAGTGATATCACTCACGTTGTATTGGATCGAAAAGTGGCATATAGACGTTTTTCTAGGTTTGGAATTTGTATGACTGTCTCGCAAAGAATGAAACTCCTGCTGGTTTAATTACAAAGGAACCGATTCTTGTTACCAGAAGGTGATACTTATCCTTTCAGCTGATAGAAAACAGCAATGTCACACTTCGAGTGTCAAAGGTTAGAGCATTCCCAAATACCCTCAACTCAGTGAGCCTGAAGACGTTTACGCCAATTTCTCCACTTAAAAATCTATAGGAACGGGGCTGTAGGGTAATGGCACCCGAGTGCCGTCTCCATATTCGCCCTCGCTGTCGTCAAGGTGCAGCATTTGCTCGGATAACGAGGTACTGCAGGAAACATACACCTAAGCATAGAGAACAACCTGAAGTGAGGCGTTAAGACAAGTAGTACGTTTGGCTACGGCTGGAAAAGTACCTGGCCGTGCAGCAGCAGGGGCGAAGTATGGAGACGTCACTTGGGCACCACTACTCTCAAGCCCTGTTCCCGTGTCCTTTTGGTCGCACAAAGCGACACGCTACGTCAGTTGCGGACTCAACCACCTCAGGGACCAGGATCCAGCGAGGTGAGTGTGATAAATTTTCTTCAAGGTGTAGGAGTGGCGACTGACTGGTTTCTGGTCTGAGCGACTCAAGATACTTGAGGCATCATTCCTTTCCTGATCATATGATTGGAAACAAAATTTTGTTCCAAATCACCTGATGAACATAACTCGAGGAAGTTGGGGAAGGAAAGGGGGAGGTGGGGGAAGGGGGTGAGAAGTAGCTCTATCGCTGCAGAGAGGGTTGATCCGATCCGAACTTTACTCTCGCTTAGTCTACGTCAAAGAGGGGCGACGCTTAATAACCACTGAGAACTGGTGCAGGCTTTACCTTCCCCCTCTGGACCACCCTTACGATTAGGCGAGGAAATCATGAGCATACCTGAAGCAAGTGGGCACGATAAGTCCCCAAAACGCGTAGGATTAATACGCCCAGCAGGACAGAATTCGGCACCCCTACAGGAGCTGTGTAGAGCCTTTTCCAATGCATGCCTCCTTCCCGCGCCTTATTAAGCTGCAACCTAAAGACCCGGATGCCCACCGCGCCCGCCCGCCCACAAATGTCCGACTCATGCTGATGATCGTATTGCTTCATTTGCTAAGTAAAATATGAAGCGAAGGGATTGATATGAAGCGGCAGCGGTGCTGCATGGATATATGAGTAGGAACTAGTAGCCGATTAGTGGCTCGATCCAAACGGTGAACTCGCACGTTCGAATCTGGGTTTTCTGACTCGCGTAGATACAAGGGCTTTCGCTGGTTTTTGACCTTTCAACTATCGTTTTTTTCACCATCCTTTTCATTGCCATTTTTTCTCCATCATTTCCTGACCCGTAAATCTGTGTCTTATGCTCTGATTCATTTTTCAACCGCTGTGTGTGTTGGTCAAAGGGCAGCTGGTAACCATAACCTTCCACGAATCCAAAAGCGCAAAGCCCAGTTAATATTTGCAGGGTATTGAATACGCGGAAGTCGGCCAACACTTGCAACTGGTCCATATGGTGTCTGGGTTGCGTCGGTTGCAGAGTATACCAATTATTATCGTGGATGCTGCTGAATAATGTGAAGGAATACTACGATGAAAATGAAAATTCACTTAAAATAAAATAAATGAAACAACCTTTTTTAGAGGGTAACTTCGGGTGTGTGTGTGTCTGCACAGTATTCAACTGAGGGGCAAAACGTATAACTAAAGGCTATGCTCTCTCAGCTATTCAGAGCTCCACTGTTCACACAAAGTCCCTGGTTTCAACGATAATCGAATTTCATTCTTGGAAGTTATGTCGTGTTGACAGGCACGATACATTTCTTTCAAGAGCAATGTGTACTCTAAGTTGGGTGTCGGTCCAAAATGAAGTGAGAAAAGTAGCGTTTCTGTTCACAGCTCAGGTTTTTTTTTCTCTCCTCGTTTGTAGCTATTGCCGTTCACCAACTAATTGATGGACTACTCCGTAATACGTCTTTTGCTTTTTGTTTTCTCGGTGTGTTAATTTTTATAACCGAATTATTACCTTTGCCGCCTAGGCGAAATGATCAAACAAACCGCTACTGTCAGCGCGTCAGCGGCGACGCGCGCGCGCGTTGTAACGGCAATAGGCGCGGCAGTTCAAGTGAATAACCTCCATCAAAGAGAGGTGTACTACTCCTTCATTCATTACGGACTGTCGGGGCGTATCAGCCAGTAGGAGTGCGCACACTGTTTGAAGCCGTTCTCAGCCTTTTCGTTGAAACGCGTATGCGACAAAAAGTGGTAGAAAACGAGTAATACGAAGGATATAATGCTGTTGTCATGTCATTTGATCGCTTCAACAACTTGGTGCAGAAAGACTTTGGCAACCGCGGAAAACGCGAGCCTGCCACTGGACGGCGCCCGTCGACAGGCTCGTAAATGATGAGGAGAGTACATCCTGACTGCGTGTCTCTCTATTCACGTCTCTCTTCAAGAGTGAATCTGGCTGAAGATTGAAACCATCGCAATCAAAGGCATCCGTAACTAACGCAATCCGCGTGCGGCTGGCAACATCGCTGGACACGCACGCGTCAGCGCTGGCGATCGCGGTTCGTCCTGCCACGTGTCGCGACATCGCTGGACACGCCCGTCAGCGCGGCGAATTCCGGTTGTCCTGCCACGTGCGATCTCCGGACAACTTGAACCTGATTGTGATTTGGATGCGTAGGTTTTTTGTTTTTCTCTGCGCTTTCTCGACGTTATTCTATGCTCATTGTGACCTCACACAGTCCAGCTTTCCATAAATGATATGTGGCACACCTACCCTAGAGCCCTTTCCCCTTGAAAAAGCCAAGCCTTCTTTACGTAAGTGGCTGGGTCAACAGTGGATCGATCCTGGCCTAGAGTTTACAGGTCACATGTCATCTAGTTTTCAGGGTCGGTTACGTACATGAAATAAGTAAAGGAATCTAAAGTAAAAAGTACTACCACCCATGTTTCACCAACGGCGGGTACCCGGCAAAATCAGAGGTGATACAAGAAGGTTTGCGCAACTATCTGTCACCCCTGAGTCGGTAGGACGACGCAGAAGCGATAATCCATTCAGGGAGAGATGATGAAACATCAGGAGCTATGGTCTTCTCCCTAGATCTTCTGCACAACAAGAACCATGGATTAATCTGTTATCATTGAATGACCATGGTTGATATCCGGTAATGAAGTTTCTCATCCTCCTATTTATTCGAGCTTCCAACATAGCAATTGATGAACGAGAGTTGGCTGAATCTGGAGAGGATGTATATTCCATACTTCATGCCATTTTCATATTCCATTATTTTCCTGCCTACCCATCACAGCTCGAAAGTTTAGATAGGAGCAATCTCGCACAACAGATGCCAGCTCTGTCTGACCGCCTGGCGAAGTTCGGACTCAGGTTGAACATCAAGGAAACCCAGTGCTTTACGGCAGACTCAAACGAGTTCGATTCCATTAAGATTCTTGGCATCGAGCCCAAAGTTTGAGAACCATCAAGACTCTTGGATCACAAATTGGTTCGATGGCATTCTGACCTCCAAAGAGCTCGCGCGGAGTGCAGCATGGGCTATATGGCGGTGCATGCCCAGAGTTTTCTGTGGCAAGACGATGCCAGAGCGCCGTGTTTCACTATGGATTGGGTATGCAACGAAGACAATACACAAAATTTTGCGTAGCTTCCCTTTGTGGGATGCGGCACGCATTCTACTTCCATTCAGAATCGTAGTGGCTTATTGAATGCGATGTGGCCTATACAATGACTTGCGGGGGCCAGCCGATGTACAAGTCAGTGTTTTATCCTCCCAGACGAATCTGGTACCAATTTACCGTCCCCGGAGGGTAGAAGGCTTGGTTGGCCCAAGCAGGTGTCGACCCCGGATTTGGGCCCAGAACTACGTAAATGATAAGCGCGTCACTTGTCAATACACCAGCTCCTCTCCCGTAGCCTCCCATGGTCCGTAGTTCCCATAGTTTATGAAATGCGAGATTGTT